CACCCCCATGACACGTGTGAACTGCTCTTGGGGGCTGTGAGCTGTAAATCACAGGAAAACAGCTTGTAACATGCTGCCCGGGCCTGACCATTTGAACCCGCCTCTGGACTCTTGATGTGCGGAGGAGGGCCTGCCCAGTGCAGGCTCAGTGCTGGTCAGTCTCGAGAGTGGAGCTGTCTGAAGGGGCCTTTCTTCAAAGCCCATTCTTAATGATAAGTTTGGAGTCACATACTGAGTGTCCTCGGCCAATTCCTGCTCTACAGTTCCATCTTCATCCCACACAAGAATGGATTTGCTTTAGGAAGTATAGCCTTATCTTTATTTCTTTTTAAAAAAATGTATACAGAAAACATTTCTTTTGGTTCACAGCTCTAGTGAAAGCTTTCTTAAGTCTTGAGGCAATGCAGTGAAGTACACCAGATAATTCAGTTGAGTCTAGGTTGGGGGTGTAGTGTAGTTGTAGAATGCTTGTGAGAATGTGCAAAGTCCTGGATTTGGTCCCTAGTATCCAGGAAAACAAAAAAAGAAAAAGGGAAAGAGAAGTCAGGGTTAAGGGATAGGATGGGACTAGTGTTTGTTTTTTTCCCCATGTACCAAGGTTTGAACTCAAGACCTCCAGCTTGCTTGGATTACTTTCTTGGCTGGTACTCTTTCACTTGAACCATGCCTCCAGCCTGGCTGCTGGTTATTTTGGAGATGGGGTCTCATGGACTTTTCTGTCCAGACTCACTTTGACCTACAGTCCTTCAGATATTTGTCTCTTGAGTAGTTAGGGGTTTAGTCAAGTGGTAGAATGCTTATCTAGCATGCTCAAGGCCCTAGATTCAAATCTCCAGTACTGCAAAAAAAGAGGATGTTCATGAAAGAGTTCTCCGTGTAGGTGAAAGTGTTGGTTGAAATAAAGGAAATGGTCATGATCGTGCCTACCACACCATCCAGCAGGGGAACCTTGCTACAACCCCCCATGGTACCTCAGAGAAGAGAGGCGAGGGGACTGGGCAGAGTCAGGACTCCCACAGACCCCTGGGACTGGGTTTGCTGGGCTTCGGAGCCCCTGGGCCTGGCACAGAACTGCCCCGTGATAGTGCAGGAGGTCTCTGCCTGGTGTGTATGGTGGTGCCTGCATCTCCTAACAGCCACTGTGGCAGACCTTCTCTTCCCCCCTATTTCCCTTGGGTACTACCAGATGATGAGCTTGCCTGGGGAGGGAATGCTTATTCCTTGGCTTGGCTTCTCCTTCCTCTTCTGGATGATGGAAAGCACTTGGGCCAAGAGACTGAGGTTCCTTTTACCCTCACCTTCTTTGCAGTCCACTGTAGGCTATTCTCCAGCCAGCAGCGAAACTGATATTTCTAGTGAGTGAGTTTGTTGCTGAGGATGGAACTCAGGCCTGGGAGTCTGCTGCACCCCACTTCCTGGGGTGATGATTAAAATGCAGCTGCAGCATTGGCTGGCCAGGGCTCCTGCTGTTGTGTAGGTATGAGGGGAGGGGAGAAAAACGAGGCTGGCCAGACATCCCACCGTTGGTTTCTTCTCTGAGCAGGTGGCCTTGACTTTGGCTAGGCTAATGAGTTGTGGGGCTCACCAGAGCCATGCCTAACCCCTTTAGTTTAAAGTTTCCTGTACAATTTTTTAAATTTATATATATATTCCCTTTTATTGTTATAAAGGTGTTGTACAGAATGGTTACAGTTATATAAGTCAGGTAAAGAGTACATTTCTCATGTCAGGCTCAGTGTCTCACTCCTGTAATCCTAGCTACTCAGGAGTCTTGAGATCTGAGGATCGTGGTCGTGGTTCAAAGCCAGGGCAGGAAAGTCTGTGAGACTCTTATCTCCAATAAACCACCAGAAAACCTGAAGTGGCGCTGCGGCTCAAGTGGTAAAGCGCTTGCCTTGAGCTGATAGACCTGAGGGATAGCGCCCAGGCCCAGAGTTCAAGCCCCATGACCAAAAAAAAAAAGAATATTCTTGTAGTGTTCACTTGACTAACTACTTCAGATCTTCCCTCAACAGTTAGGTCTATGAAGCCATTATATCATCCTGTCTGACATTCCACTCTTCCTCATACTGTATTCTTTCCCTACTTATTTTTTTTCCTCATTACAGTTACCTAGCATGCTTTTATTTTATTATTTAGTCATAGTTTATATATACATATACTTAATAAATGTAAATGCTTATACTTATCCCTAGCTTATTATATATTGTTTATCTTACATATCTTGTTTATCTTATGTACTAGGCTGTAAGCTTGGGCAGGATTTTTTTGTCTGTTAGCTGTAGTATTTCTAGTAAACGCTTAGTAATGTCAAATGATTGCATCAGTAATCAGTAATAGCATTAGTAAATGCTGTTCATAACTAAACCTGAGTTTGGTGGTATACTTTGATGCACACAAGCTGTGTGTGTATGTATGTGTGTGTGTGTGTGTGTACATGCGTGTGCGTGTGCGTGCGCGTGCAGTTTTACCAACCAAACTCGGGTCCTGGCACATTCTGGGTAAGTGTTGTACCACTGAGTTAGATCCCTAGCACAATATACAAGTTTTTTTAAATTGTTATTATAAAGGTGATGTACAAAGGAGTTATCGTTTTATAAGTTAGGCAACGAATACCTTTCTTTTTTTAATTGGTTGTAGCAGAAGACCTGTTTTTTGTTTTTTGGGTTTTTTTTTTGTTGGTCATGGGGCCTGAACTCTGGGCCTGGGCGCTGTCCCTAAGCTCTTCAGCTCAAGGCTAGCGCTCTACCACTTGAGCCACAGCACCACTTCCTGCTTTTTCTGCTTATGTGGTGCTGAGGAATCAAACCCAGGGCCTCATGCATGCAAGGCAAGCGCTCTACCACTGAGCCACCTTCCCAGCCTGACCTGTTTGTTTTTATTGTTATTATAAAGGTCATAATGTACAGAGGGGTTACAGTCACATGTCAGGTGAAGAGCACATTTCTTTTTGGACACTGTTGCCCCTTCACTCGCTCTCCCCGTTTCCCCTCCCATCCCCACCCTCCAGTTGTATGGCGTTCATTTTTAACATAGTGTTTAGTGAGTGCCAAAGCTGCATTTGTTCACCCTTTATCTTTCCATTTCTGTGCCTCCCTTTACCCTCCCAAGGACAGATAAATGAACAAACAAGACAAAATGAAAACAAAAACAGCAACAAAGGAAAAAACCTCATTTCCATTCCCTGGAGTTCATTTTGATAAATGATCAGATGCACATAGGCCATTGCACCTTTGTGTTTCTCTCCTAAGAATATCTTCCTTCGGTCTTGTGAATATACAAGTTTTTAATTTTGTAATAATATGCTGTTATTTTTTACTTTCCATCTTACCTCCTTTTTTTTTGTTTTGTCGGTCGTCAAGCTTGATCTCTGGATTTAGGTGCTGTCCCTCAGCTCTTCAGCTCAAGGCGAGTGCTCTACCACTTGAGCCACAGAGCTACTTCGAGTTTTCTTAATGGTTTATTTGAGATAAGAGTCTCACAGAGTTTCCTGCTCTGGCTGGCTTTGAACTACAATCCTCAGATCTCCTGAGTAGCTAGGATTACAGCCGTGAGCCACTGATGCCTGGCTCATCTGAACTCTTAATTTTTCCTGTTAGTAAAAGTCATTTTGTTTTTTGTTAAATGTCTACATATTCACTATTAATTAATTCTTGTGTCAGGTCCTGGATGTTTTTCCTGAGCTTTTTGATTCAAGGCTAGTGCTCTCACTTGAGCCACAGCTCTACTTGGCTATTTGGTGGTTGATTGGAGCTAAGACTCTCCTGAACCTTCCTTCTCAGTCTGGCTTTGAACTATGATCTTCAGATCTCAGCTGCATGAGTAGTTAGGATTATAATTGTGAGCCACTGGCGCCTGGCTTAGGTTTTGCCTTTTACTTGCTTTTTATGGCTTTTAATTGGACATTTAGTGAATTTATATTTGTTGTAATTATGAGTATTATTTAGTTTACTGTTTCTTTCTTTTTTTTTTTTTTGTACTAGTAGTGGAGTTTGAATTCAGGGCCTAGGCACTGTCCCTTAGCTTTTTTTTGCTCAAAGCTAGCACTCTTACCACTTGAGCCACAACTCCACTTCTGCTTTTTTTTTTGGTGGTTAATTGGAGATAAGAGTCTTATGAACTTCACTGCCTGGATTGGCTTCAAACTGTGATCCTTAGATCTCTTGAGTAGCTAGGAAGGATTATAGGTGTGATTCACTAGTGTACCCCTCTCTCTCTCTCTCTCTCTCTCTCCCTCTCCCTCTCCCTCTCTCCCTCCCCCTCTCCCTCCCTCCTTCCTTTCTTCCTTCCTTCCCCTTTCCTTTCCCTTTCTCTTTCTCTTCTCCCTCTCTCCCTTTCTTTTCTTTTTTCTTTTCCCTCCCTCCCTTCCTTCCTCCTTCCCTCTCTTTCCTTCCTTTCTCTCTCTTTTCCTTCCTTTCTCTTTCTTTCTTTTCTTCCTTTCTTCATTTGTTCATTCATTCATTTGTATTTGAACTCAGGGCCTTGCACTTGCTTGCTAACTTGGCTTGCTTACTTGCTTAGCTGACACTCTTCCACTTTAGCCACGCCTCCAGCTCTGCTTTTTACTGGTTATTTTGGAGATAGAATCTCACAGACATATGTTCCTAGGCCTATTTAAAGCCATGATCTGTATTTCCTTTTTCTTTTTTGTGCTGGTCCTGGGTCTTGAACTCAGGGCCTCACACTCTAGCTTGGCTTCTTCAGTGATCGCTGATGTACTAATTGAGCCACAACTCATTCTCAGAATTTTGCTGCTTCCTGAAGATGAGACACTTTCAGATTTGTCTTTCTGGCTGGTTTTGAGCCAGAGTCCTCAGATACCAGCTTTCTGAGTAGCTAGGATTATAGGCCCGAACCACTGGCACCCAGCCTCTGAACTGCCTTGTAAGCGCTCAGGAAGTTTGATCCTGTGGGCTATTGCTCTGAAGGCCAGTGAAATAGCTGCAGTCCTGTGATCCACACGTAACATCAAGTTCACCCAAGATTCCCTCTTTCTCCAGCTGCAGATCTGGGACACAGCTGGCCAGGAACGATTCCGAACCATCACCCAGAGCTACTACCGAAGTGCCAACGGGGCCATCCTTGCCTATGACATCACCAAGAGGAGTTCCTTTCTGTCTGTGCCTCACTGGATTGAGGATGTGAGGAAGTACGCAGGCTCTAACATCGTGCAGCTGCTGATTGGTGAGCTGGTAACCCAGGCAGCCCACAGAGGCCTTGGGACAGTAAAGCTCCCCTCTGTGCCTCTGCCTCTCTCCTTTTCAAGTCCAGAAGTGCTGAGTCTAGCCACACAGGAGTGAGCTTCAAGTTCAATTGATTTTGTAGAGCCTAGTCCCGCTAATCACTTTACAGTTAGATTTTAAAATGAGCCTAGAGGACAGAAGGGGAGCTGAAATTTGCTTTGCAGCCCATGTGTCTTACTTAGTTTACTTTCTGTTGTTCCTAAACCAATACCACAGACTGTGTTAGTTATAAATAGGTTTATTTTGGATTACCGTCCCGGAAGTCCAAGACCAAGGATTATATCTAGTAATTGCTTTTTTGCCGGCAAATTCTAGGTAGCACCAGTCCCATGGCAGGAAACAAAGTACATTTGTGTGCTTGTCTCATGTCGTGGGGATTCTGTCCTGAAGACCTCCCACCTTCATCACCTCCCCCACTAAACGGCACGGTTGAGTTTCCACCTTCTTACACGTCATGGTGGCAGTTAGACTGCAGCCTGGGCTCTGCAGACCCAACCCTTGCAGCGGTCACTGTGTTAGTGCTCAGGGTTGACGTGAGATTTAGCTCTCCTAACCATGGCTCCTCACTGATGAGATGAAATGAGATTCAGAGAAGTGGAGCTGGACACCCTTGGCTCATGCCTGTAATCCTAGCAACTTTGGAGGCTGAGATCTAAGACTCACAGTTCAAAGCCAGCTCAGGCAGGAAAGTCGTGAGACTCCTATCTCCACTTAACCACCAGAAAACTGGAAGTAGTGCTGTGGCTCATGTGGTAGAATGTTCATATTGAGCTGAAGAGCTGAGGAACAGCACGCAGGCCCAGAGTTCAAGCCCCACGACTGACCCAAAAAAACAAAAAGAGTGGAACAATGTACCCAGCTCTACACAGCCTGCTAGCACAAAGATGCAGTGTTTGAGCCGAGGTTTGCTCAGCACAACTCCGTGGGTTTCACAGCTTCCCTGTGAATACTCCGCCATTTGCAGGCTTCAGAATCACTTAGGAGGCTTGTTAAAGTGCAGGTGGTGGGCTTACTTCAGTCAGGAGGTTAGGGCCCATGGATGTGCTTTTTTTTTTTTTTTTTTCGTGGGCCTTGAACTCTGGGCCTGGGCGCTGTCCCTCAGCTCTTCAGCTCAAGGCGAGCGCTCTACCACTTGAGCCACAGCGCCACTTCCGGTTTTCTGGTGGTTTATTGGAGATAGGAGTCTCACGGTCTCTCCTGCCCAGGCTGGCTTTGAACCGCAATCTTCAGATCTCAGCCTCCTGAGTAGCTAGGATTACAGGCGTGAGCCACCAGCGCCCAGCTGGATGTGCATTTTTGATTTTTGTTTTTTTGGTGGCACCAGGGTTTGAACTCAGGGTCTTATGCTTGCTAGATAGACACCCTACCATTTTAGCCACACCTCTCTCCCTTTTAGCTTTAGCTTTGTTTCAGATAGATCCTTGCTTTTTGCCTAGGCTGGCCTGGAAGACGGTTTTCCTATTTTTGCTGCCAGTATTCCTGGCTAGCCTTCCATGGGGTATGGAAGTACACTCCAGACCCAGATCCCTGGCAGGAGCAGAGCAGCCTTGTCTGGCTCAGCTGCTCCTGTGTGTGTGTGTACACGTGTGTGTGTGTGCACGTGTGTGCGTGCATGCACGCCTGCCTGTTCTGGGGCTTAAACTCAGGGCCTAGGTGCTATCTCTGAACATTTTTGCTGAAGGCTAGCACTCTACCACTTAAGCCAACCACATTTCTTTTATATAGGACCTTTCTAGAAAACATTCTATTATAGCTCATTTTACATAGTACAAAAAATAGAATAGTAGAACAGCTGATGCTATGCAAAACAAAAGAAATGTACGTATCACCCAATGTGGAAGAAATAGCTGTATCGCAAAGCTCATAGAACTCATAAATGTTATAGACCATGGTAGACAATTTGCTCCATGAAAGTTAGAATGTGTTTATGACTTTAACTAGCATCACTATGCCACAATACTGTGACACTTGGGAAATTATGTAACCACTTAATCACAAAAAATTTGGGAAAAAAAAAAAAGTAGAATAGTATCATAGGTCCCCAGTGCCTGCTCTCCTGCTTCTGGTAACTGGCGGTTGAGTTCATTTTGGTCACTCCTTACTATTGTATTACTTTGGGACTAATCTCAGACACCAAACTGTTTCCTCTGTAACAATTACAGCATAAGTCTATAAAACACAGATATTTAAAATTACATAAGCAGGGCTGGGAATGTTGCTTAGTGGTAGAGTGCTTGCCTAGCATGCATGAAGTTCTGGGTTCGATTCCTCAGTACCACATACACAAAAAAAAAAGCCTTAAGTAGCACTGTGGCTCAAGTGGTAGAGTGCTAGCTTTGGTCAAAAAGAAACTCAGACAGTGCCCAAGGCCCTAAGTTCAAGCCCCAAAACAGGCCAAAAATAAAAATTATGTGTGCATATGTGTATACACATATATACATACACACACACACACACACACGCAATAGTATTTTCAGGGGCTGGGAAGGTGGCTCAGTGGTAGAATGCTTGCCTCGCATGCATGAGGCCCTGGGTTCGATTCCTCAGCACCACATACACAGAAAAAAAAAAGCCAGAAGTGGCACTGTGGCTCAAGTGGTAGAGCACTAGCCTTGAGCTGAAGAGCCCAAGCCCAGAGTTCAGACCCCACAACCGGACCCAAAAAAAAAAAATTAGTATTTTTACATCTAGAAATACTAACATTTTCTTAGAAAGCAACTCAGAAGCTGGATGCCAGTGTCTCAAGCCTACAATGAGGGTGTCCACATCTACTAAGGAGGCCGAAGAAAGGAGATCACTACACCCCAGGAGTTTGAGGCTAGCCTGGGCAGCGTAGCAAGACCCCATTTCAAAAATTAAAAAACCCAAAGCCAGGCAACAGTGGCTCATGCCTGTAACCCCAGCTACTCAGGAAGCTGAGTTCTGAGGATCACAGTTCAAAGCCAGCCTAGGCAAGAAAGTCCATGAGCCAAGTGCTGGTGATTCACACCTGTAATCCTAGCTACTCAGGAGGCTGAGATCTGAGAAAGTCTGTGAGACTAATCTCCAATAAAATACCAGAAAACTGGAAGTGGTGCTGTGGCTAAAGTGGTTGAGCACTTGCCTTGAGCTGAAGAGCTCAAGGACAGTGCCTAGGCCCAGAGTTTAAGCCCCACGACCAATCCCCCCCCCAAAAGAAAGGACACATAATAGTTACGAACTTATAGCAAAACAAAACAAAAAAAATAGCAACACCAGATTTCTGTCATTTCCATATTTGTGGGGTTCTTAAGTGTCAGCGTTTCCACACTGCCCTGCTCTCCTGTCCTGAGCATGGCATGCTTGACCTGGGAAACCGGCTCACTGGAGCTCCTGCAGCGACAGAGGCTGGAGCTGCAGCTCCACAGTTCCAAGTGCTTCCCATCAGACATCAGGCTTCCTCTCAGAGGAGGCAGGGCGAGGCACAGGGTGTGCAGAAGACTAGGCTCCATCCCTAGCCCTGCAAAGTAAGCTTTAAAAGAAGCAGTTTTAAAAAGCAGAGTATGAGAGTGAAGGGTAGAGTAAGAGCTTTAGAATAGAAAGGCATCTGGGTACAGTGGCACACTCATAGTCCCAACTATGCTGTGGTAGGGGCTCTGGCACCCAAGAGCTAGAAGCTGGTCTGGGCAGCCAGATGAGAACCCACTTTTGTTAAAATAAGAAAGATGGGTTGCCATATTCAGAAATGTTTAGTTTTAGCAGGCTAAGGACAGGGTATTGGTGAGCTCTCGAAGGGCTCTGCAGTCCTTACAGGCTGCACTTAGCACCACTGAGCAGAGGGCTGTGTGCTCCTCAGGATGGCTCTGCATTGTGCTGCTCACTGCAAAGGGTAGATCTCAGGGTGGATCTACAGGGCGGCTCTCAGGGTGGCTCTGCTGGGTGGATCGCAGGGTGGATCTCAGTGGGCTCCCCAGGCCACCCCTACACCCAGCTTTTCTTACAGGAAACAAGTTGGACCTCGCTGAGCTCCGGGAAGTCCCGCTGGCTGAGGCTCAGAGCCTAGCAGAACACTACGACATTTTGTGTGCCATTGAGACCTCTGCCAAGGACTCCAGCAACGTGGACGAGGCCTTCACGAGGGTGGCCACCGAGCTCATCATGAGGCACGGGGGCCCCATGTTCAGTGAGAAGAGTACCGACCACATCCAGCTGGACAGCAAGGACATCGGGGAAAGCTGGGGCTGTGGGTGCTGACCAGGGCACAGGGCCAGCAGGCCAGGGGCTGAGCCACCTTTCTCTCTGGCCTGTGGAGTCTGCTCTTGTAGGGCCCCAGCCATTCAACTGCTGCTGTGTCAGCCCTGGCGTTCTGCACCCTGGTGTGAATATGTGGTGGGAAGGGGCCACAGGGCCCCCCTTGCAGGGGCCTGTTGGCAGAGGGGAGCGGTGACCCATCCTGCAAGCCAGCTTGGGGCCTCTCATGTTCACATTCCAGGACTGTTGTTAGCCCTTTAATGGGACCTCGGGGGCAGGAGACCTGGCCTCCATCCTTCACTTGCTGGTTTTGACCATTGCAACCTTGGCTGCTGCGGCTACTCTCCAGGGATGTAGCCAGTCCTCAGTTCCTACAGACCCTCCACCTGGAGCACCAGGAGCGTGGTGCCTGAGCCCTGCCCAGGGATGCCTGGGCACATGCCAGCAGGAGCGGCTAGCTGCCTTCACTGCCAGCTTGAGCTCTCTAGAGACGCTTGCTGGGGCCTGGCTCATTGCCTTATCAAGACCTCTTGGGTTCTTGTGGTTTTCCATGTAGCTTCTCATTTTCATCTGCACAAGTGTGGGGTCATGGCCATAGCCAGTTAGGGACTGTCTGTTGGCTTGGGGCCAAAATTGTACCAGTCAGGTTGAAAAACCAGCTAGTCTTCCAGCAGTTTCTCTGAAGGGTGGGGGTTAAGGTGGGAAGTGAAAACTTGAGGCAGGGCTGGGAAGGTGGCTCAGTGGTAGAGTACATGCCTTGCAAGCATGAGGCCCTGGGTTCGATTCCTCAGCACCACATAAACAGAAAAAGCCGGAAGTGGCACTGTGGCTCCAGTGGTAGAGCGTTAGCCTTGAGCTGAAGAGCTGAGGGACAGCGCCCAGGCCCAGAGTTCAGGCCCCATGACCGGCAAAAAAAAAAAAAAAAAAAAAAACTTGAGGTAAAAGAAGATTGGGGGAGCCTGGCGCTGGTGGCTCATGCCTGTAATCCTAGCTACTCAGGAGGCTGAGATCTGAGGATCACGGTTCAAAGCCAGCCCAGGCAGGAGAGACCGTGAGACTCCTATCTCCAATAAACCACCAGAAAACCAGAAGTGGCGCTGTAGCAAGAAGAAGATTGGGGGTGTGTGGCTGATGCTTAGCATTCACAGGACCTGGTTCAATCCTCAGTATCAGAACAAAACAAGAAAACAGAAGCAAGAAGAAAGAAGTCCTGTATTGTGTCTGAGGCTCCTCCTTACTCATGTACAGAATCTCTTCTGGCAAGGTCAGCTTCACACTGGACTGAGTTTGTGGCCAGTGGTCTTCAGCCTGTGCTGGGTGCTGAGGTCAGAGAGCAGAAGGCAGAGTCTCAGGAAAGAGTGGAGGCTCAGGTCACAGGGAAGGGTCCTGGGGCTGAGGAGCTGCTCTTCCCAAGCACGGCCCAGGGCCTCTGTGTCAGCCAATCTGCCTTTCCACACTACTCAGTGAGGGCCTCCAGAGATGAACTGCACAGACTCTCAAGTGAGCACCCCGAACCTGGCCAGGAGGGCCGGGCTCGGCCCCTCCCCACACTGGTCTGAAACAGCTCCCTTTGCTGAGAAGGCCAGGCCTGGTTCTGGAGAGAAGGCAGGCTGGCCCGGCCCAAGGAGTGGTCAAAGTAGGGTTGCACCTGTGTGCGGGCACAGGCTGCGGGCTCACGTGGCCCAGGGAAGCCAGGTGGGGCCCACGCCCCCACTTCCTGCTTTCATTCTCAATCTACTGATAGGGAGCCTCCCAAAGCCCGGGCGTGGCAGTCAGGCCACAGCCAGGGCCCAGTGCCTGTCAGGCCACTCAGGGTGCCCGCTCACCTGCAACGCTGTGCTCCACAGACAGCGCCTCCCCCAGCCCCACCACCGTGGCAGTGGCTAGTGCCTCTGGATAACACAGTCAGCTGGGCTTCCAACCCAGGGGCCAGGCATTAACACCAGCCTTGCTGGTGTGAGGGCGCCGGGGTCTGGACCTGCACCTGGCGTGAGTCCAGCATCGGGCCACAGGTAGCATCATACTCACTGCTGCGTGCTGCCCACTGCCTTGGGGGTTCACCTGTCACCCTGGGCACCTCCCTTCCCCTCTCTAGGGCTGGAGGTCACCTGTCACCCTGGGCACTGCCCTTCCCCCACAGGGCTGGAGGTCACCTGTCACCCTGGGCACCTCCCTTCCCCTCTCTAGGGCTGGAGGCCTGTTTGGGGGCTTTTAATCAGGATCTGGGTGCTATCACTGAGCTTTCACAAGGCTGGCGTTCTACAACTTTAGCCGCAGCTTTTTTGGTGGCTATTTGGAGCTAGGAGTCTGATGGACTTTCCCGCCCAGGCTGGCTTCAAACTGGTTCTTAGATCTCAGTCTCTTGAGTAGCTGGGATTGCAGGCTTGAGCACCACCGCCCAGCATTAGTGGTTTCTTAGCTCGTGTAGCAAGGCCCATCTTTCTCCTTTTTCCTCAAAGCCAAGGTGTTAGAATGTGGGTTAAGTGAACCCCTGCTCTCGTGGTCCAGAGGGGAGCAGCCCCACTCCAGGCTGCTCTGATGGCTGTTCTGCCCGCCTCCCTCAGCCCACCCTGCCCTGTCCAGCCACAAACACCTTGTTGCTGTTTGCCCAAGATAGGTTGCCATGTGGCCAGTCTAGAGGCTCGTACCGTATTCAGAGCACAAGAGGTGGTGTGCCCTGCCTTCTGGCACCTGGGCCTCCCCAGTCCAGACCCCTGGTGCCCCACCTGCCCCTCCTGCTTACCAAGCCTGAGCCAGAATCCAAGGAGTGATCAGCAGGACAGATTTTTTTGGAGGGGGGAGGAGGGTCCAGTCGCGGGGCCTGAACTCTGGGCCTGGGCGCTGTCCCTCAGCTCTAGGCTAGCACTCTACCACTTGAGCCACAGCGCCACTTCCGACTTTTTTCTTTATGCTTATGTGGTGCTGAGGAATCAAACCCAGGGCCTCATGCATGCAAGGCAAGCGCTCTACCACAGAGTCATCTTCCCAGCCCTGGCAGGGCAGATTTTTGAGAGCAGACTCCTTACCACCCTGGAGTCTGGCTGAAGCCAGTTTCCTGTGGAGGGGCCTCTATCAAAGGGGACTTGGGCTTCAGTAAGAAAAGGAACAGAGAGTGGACTGGCCCCCTTCCCAGTGACAAGCTTGGCAGGCTCACTGCAGCCCAGGGCCTCTGGGGTGAGAGCGTGGCAATCTTGCCTTGTTTATAATAACACAGCAGCAGGTGGAGGCTGGCTCTTTGCTGGGTTGGAGGGTTCTGGACTCTCCAGGGACACAGGCCCCGGTGTGGGGGCTGTGGGAAGAAGATCCTGATTCACATTGAATTCTCTTGCTCTCTCCCAGGAGGGCTTCCCCAGCGGGGCTCTCCAGCCCTGGAGGGTCGGTGGCCTGGTGCTTTGCCGGCTCGAGGATTCCATTTCAATTTGGGATATTTTCATGTTACCTATTTATGAATATATGTCTTTGTATTAAGTGTTTTTAAAACATGGAAAGTTACCTTTTTGGAGACTTTGGAGAGCCAGAGTATATGTGTTCCTCAGCCATTAAATGTTTCTGCCCAAGACCTTGTCGGAGGTGGTCTCCAGGCCTGGGGAAGACTGGGAGGTGGAGGTTCACCAGCCCAGTGCCCGCCTGGCACTGCTGGACCCCTAAGAACAAGAAGCATCTACAACCCCTGAGCAGAGGAGGCTGACTCACCAGGTGCCTGGCTCACACCTGTAATCCCAGCTACTCAGGAGGCTGAGGTCTGATGGTTGCAGTTCAAAGCCAGCCTGGGCTTGAAAGTCCATGGATTCAGGTCCATTTAACCACCAGACAACCAGAAGTGGAGCTGTGGCTCAAAGTGGTAGAGCGCTAGCCTTGAACAAAGAGCTCAGGGACAGTACCCAGATCCTGAGTTCAAGCCCCACAACCAACCACAAAAAGGAGAGGGAAGGCTGGCAGGACGTTATACACCCTGGACAAGCCAGCACCCTTTTCTGGGCCCACAGCTACTTAGCTGGTTGAATTGAGGAGGCCTCTTGGGTGCTGGGGCTGTCAGCAGGGGAAAGTAGAGCCATCATTCAGAATCTGGTTGAGAGCCCCTGTGCAGCCAGCCTGCTCCTCGGTTCCCGGCAGAGAGCAGAGCCACGCCCTCCGTGCCATTCACCATCCTGGTAACCTGGTTCATTCTTCGACAGCCCTGTGCTGAAAGGGGGCTTCCAGAAGACGGGGCTGTGACCTGCCCAGCCCCGTTGAGGTGGACTGGCCTACCTGCGGCAGGCCCGCCGCCGTCGGCCCTGGCTAGGGCCCCCATGGGGAAGTTCTCTTTGGACCCGGTGACCAGCTCTTGCTGGTCAGTCCTGCATTCCAGGGGGTTAGTGTATGAAGGCTGGAGCCCTCAGTCTCCACAGAGGCTACAGAGAAGGACCGCCTGACAGAATGGTGCCCCCAGCTTCACTGTGCCCCTTGGAAGACAAATCCTAGCGAGCCTGAGCCTGGCCCCCTCAGGGTGCCGCACAGGCCCTCTGTCCAGGCAGCGGCACTGGCTAGAACTCAAGACACATTCAAGAGATCATCTGGCTAGGGGCTGGGAAGGTGGCTCAGTGGTAGAGCACTTGCCTCCCATGCATGAGGCCCTGGGTTTGATTCCTCAGCACCACATAAGCAGAAAAAAGCCAAAGAGGTGCTGTGGCTCAAGAGCTTTAGCCTTGAGCTGAAGAGCTGAGGGACAGAGCCCAGGCCCAGAGCTCAGCCCCCACAACAACAAAAAAAGACCCCGTTCACAGGCTTGGCCAACTCCAGCCTGCAGGAGGAGGTCAGTGTGTACACAGGGCTAGTGTGAGTGGTGTCCTGCTGGAAGAGGTCAGGGTCTACACAGGACTAGTGTGCGTGCTGCCCCCAACCCCTGCCAGACACCAAATGCTGCTCCTTTAATCTCAGATTCACCAGCCTTTTGAACTGTGAGAAATAAATTATTGTTTATAAATTACTGTGTGTTAGGTTTCTACCGCTATGAAAAAATACTGGGGATAATTAATGAAGATAGTTGTTTTTGTTTGTTTTTGTTTTTGTTGGTCATGGGGCTTGAACTGTGGGCCTGGGCTCTGTCCCTCACATCTCCAGCTCAAGTGCTCTACCACTTGAGCCACAGCACCACTTCTGGTTTTCTGTGGTTAATTGGAGATAAGAGTCTCATGGGGCCGGGTGCAGGTGGCTCATGCCTGTAGTCCCAGCTAGTCAGGAAGCTGAGATCTGAGGATTGCAGTTCAAAGCCAGCCTGGGCAGGAAAAGCTGTGAAACTCCAACAAAAAGCTGTGAAACTCCAATAAACCACCAGAAAACTGGAAGTGGTGCTGTGGCTTAAGTGGTAGAGCGCTCACCTTGAGCTGAAGAGCTAAGGGACAGTGCTCAGGCCCATGACTGAAA